ACAAGTTTGGAAGGGAGGCAACAGTCAACATTAAATGCAATTAAAAAAGAAAAAAAAAAAAAAAAAAACAACTGAAAAGGTTAACACGAGATGTCGCAGTTCGGGCGTGCTGGGCAGACCTGTAAAATAAAAGAGCTACCAGAGGTGGAGGATGTGGTTAGTAGAATACAGTGGATGAGCGGGTCAGGTGGGGGGGGGGGCAGGCAGTGCATGCAGGATACGCCTCTGTGAGATACCTTTACAGGCCTGTCTGTGGGTGATGGGCCGGCTCTTGTCACGGTAGTAGCCCTCCTTGCAGTAGTTGCAGTTTCGGCCGGCGGTATTGTGCTTGCACATAAGGCAAACTCCGCCACTCTTGTAGCCGGACAGCTGAAACAGTTCAAGGTTGAACCGGCACCGGCGCGCGTGCAGGTTACAGTTGCAGGCTGGGAAGAGAAGCATGTCGAATAGTTTGGTGACACAACATTAACATAAGATTTGTTGTTTTTTTTAAGTTTTATTTTTTAATGGTGAAGATGAGAGCCACGGATGAACTACGTACGTACGTACGTGGGGTAACACGCCGACAGTCAGACAATCATTTCTACCTGTCATATGTCCTGTTTCACAACCCCGGTACAGCCCATAACACGCTACTCTTCACACGTGTGTTGGGGCTTTATGAGATAAATTAGTCACCGCATGTATGTGGGTGCAACTCTTTACCTTACATAGAATATGTTAAACTGTTAAGAGATTACAGATTAAGGCGGGTGGGTGGGGGGGGGGCACGGGGAGATGTAAATAGAGGACAGTGGCATGGACATTTAATCTTTAAAACAATCCAATGGACCTATATGGATAATGGATAAATAGAAGAAAAATAAAGGTAATTTTAGTTCAATGAATATTAAAACAATGTGTAGACAATAAGACATTAATACAAATAATGGGGAAACTGTAATAATGGTAATCAACACAAATATCAAAATCGAAGTGGCTATTCGCACTAATAGCATTTAGTCAAAATGTACCCGGACACGCAGCGCTGCCATTCGCACCCGGGTCCCATATTAGACCAATGCTATTCGGATGTCATTTGTGGTAGTTTATTCGAGTTAAACTGAAGAAGTAAGTTTACAAACATATAGTCCAATCAATTATCTTTCATTTGTTACCTCATTTGGTCTTACAAACCCAACAATACTATTTTAAATAGTTTTTTAATCCCAACCTCTCACTTCTGGTACCCGGGTGCGAATAGCCGCAGCCTATCAAGATTGTATATTAACACAAAGAACATTTAAAACTACAGCGGAGGATGCGGATCTTTTAGAAAACAGGAAATGGTGAATCTTGAAAGCTAAGCTGTAAGGGGGGAGGGGAGGGGTGGGGGGGTTGTTTGTCAGAGAGGAACTAAGAGTTGAGTGAACTCTTTGAATTACTTGGACTACTACTTACAGAAGTACACACCATAAAATAGAATCAATTTTTTTTTCACGTTGATGATAAAATGAATGTTGTGGGGTGGAGAAATCATAAAGAAATAAATGAATTATAATGAGTTTTTACAACATTCTTTGGTCACGTGTGTCTAAAAATAAAAATAAAATCATATGTCATGTGAAAAAAGAAATGTAAGGAAATATTTTAACTATAAAATGCGCATTTTATAGTTAAAATATTTCCTTACATTTCTTTTTTCACATGACATATGATTTTATTTTTATTTTTAGACACACGTGACCAAAGAATGTTGTAAAAACTCATTATAATTCATTTATTTCTTTATGATTTCTCCACCCCACAACATTCATTTTATCATCAACGTGAAAAAAAAATTGATTCTATTTTATGGTGTGTACTTCTGTAAGTAGTAGTCCAAGTAATTCAAAGAGTTCACTCAACTCTTAGTTCCTCTCTGACAAACAACCCCCCCACCCCTCCCCTCCCCCCTTACAGCTTAGCTTTCAAGATTCACCATTTCCTGTTTTCTAAAAGATCCGCATCCTCCGCTGTAGTTTTAAATGTTCTTTGTGTTAATATACAATCTTGATAGGCTGCGGCTATTCGCACCCGGGTACCAGAAGTGAGAGGTTGGGATTAAAAAACTATTTAAAATAGTATTGTTGGGTTTGTAAGACCAAATGAGGTAACAAATGAAAGATAATTGATTGGACTATATGTTTGTAAACTTACTTCTTCAGTTTAACTCGAATAAACTACCACAAATGACATCCGAATAGCATTGGTCTAATATGGGACCCGGGTGCGAATGGCAGCGCTGCGTGTCCGGGTACATTTTGACTAAATGCTATTAGTGCGAATAGCCACTTCGATTTTGATATTTGTGTTGATTACCATTATTACAGTTTCCCCATTATTTGTATTAATGTCTTATTGTCTACACATTGTTTTAATATTCATTGAACTAAAATTACCTTTATTTTTCTTCTATTTATCCATTATCCATATAGGTCCATTGGATTGTTTTAAAGATTAAATGTCCATGCCACTGTCCTCTATTTACATCTCCCCGTGCCCCCCCCCCACCCACCCGCCTTAATCTGTAATCTCTTAACAGTTTAACATATTCTATGTAAGGTAAAGAGTTGCACCCACATACATGCGGTGACTAATTTATCTCATAAAGCCCCAACACACGTGTGAAGAGTAGCGTGTTATGGGCTGTACCGGGGTTGTGAAACAGGACATATGACAGGTAGAAATGATTGTCTGACTGTCGGCGTGTTACCCCACGTACGTACGTACGTAGTTCATCCGTGGCTCTCATCTTCACCATTAAAAAATAAAACTTAAAAAAAACAACAAATCTTATGTTAATGTTGTGTCACCAAACTATTCGACATGCTTCTCTTCCCAGCCTGCAACTGTAACCTGCACGCGCGCCGGTGCCGGTTCAACCTTGAACTGTTTCAGCTGTCCGGCTACAAGAGTGGCGGAGTTTGCCTTATGTGCAAGCACAATACCGCCGGCCGAAACTGCAACTACTGCAAGGAGGGCTACTACCGTGACAAGAGCCGGCCCATCACCCACAGACAGGCCTGTAAAGGTATCTCACAGAGGCGTATCCTGCATGCACTGCCTGCCCCCCCCCCCACCTGACCCGCTCATCCACTGTATTCTACTAACCACATCCTCCACCTCTGGTAGCTCTTTTATTTTACAGGTCTGCCCAGCACGCCCGAACTGCGACATCTCGTGTTAACCTTTTCAGTTGTTTTTTTTTTTTTTTTTTTCTTTTTTAATTGCATTTAATGTTGACTGTTGCCTCCCTTCCAAACTTGT